GTAGAGATAGAATCTGCTTCGCACTCTTGTCAGTATAAACCTCATCATTGGGGTGCTGTGTCCAGCTGGACTTTGGCGAATCATCCTATCGGACCGTCGTGAATAGTGAGCTCTTCGCAGGCGCGAAATGCGAGAAGACACCTCGCTGCGGCGGTAAGGCGCTGGGCCCATCGATTGGGATATACTCCCGACGCATAAACCCTGACACAGGCTGGACGCTCGCCGGCTCCGTGTGCTACCTCAAGACCTGCGACAAGTTCGCGACGGCCGCGCGCATGCTGGGCCAGAATCTGCAAGCCGACTTCAATGTGAGTGCACGGCCGGTTTCGACAGTGCTTTTCGATCTTCGTCGAAGTCTCGATGAGGGAAGATCAGTCTTCCGAAAAAGTAGCCAAGGCGACTACGATGTGGCCGAGTTCGAGCGGGTTCGAGTCAGGCAGTGCCCAGCTCACTGGCTGTTTTGCGAATAGGCCCGGATGCCCGGTGCGGTTTCGGGCGCGCGCAAGGCCTAGCCGGGGTTCGATGCAACGAAAAAAGTACCCCGTTTCTTGGTCGTTTTGGCCGAATGTAAGTCGCAAGTAACCCCGGGCCATTGAACAGCTTGCTACCATTCTTAAAGTCGTGATAACCAAGGCTAAAACGCCTGGCGATGATCCGGCGCCTGGAGGTGTTGCCGGGCCACTTATTCCCGGGTGCCAGTGCGATTCAAATCCTCGTCGCCGAGTATTCGCTCTAAGTACCCGCTACAGTGGATACAAGTGGCAGAGAGAGATGCTCATAAACCAGGTTAATTTGGATACCAGCGATGGGGAGAGATGCTCATGTTAGAATCCGAGTATGCTAGTATGAGGCCGCACCGCCTCGCGCGCGTCCACGTCGCCGGCCGGCGAGGTGGGGGCTTCACGACGGTCCGTGCCGCCGAGTTCGCACTAGAGTGGGGCGGGTGGGTTTGGTTAGGTCTCCAGTCCCGCCCAACGGATGTTACAAGACCGTCAGCTTTGGGTTAGAGTGGGGAGTGGGGGTGTTTGGTTAGGTCTCCAGTCACGCCCAACGGATGTTACAAGAGCGTACCAAAGGCGCTTATGGCTGATATCACGCTCGACCAAAATGGTGCGTCTATTTCGCTTGTCGAAGGATTGTAAGGCCGTTCAACTATAGAACTAAGTAGATATTACCTCTTACTTCCCGGGTATTTTAGGGCCCCTAGCGCGGGCTCTCAGCCTGGATAACACCAATGTCATCTAGCATACTCGGATTCTAACACGCATGCCTCCGCCTTAAAAAACAGACCACGCCACCCCGGACTCCAGGAGAAGCGGCGAGCTGGGATATGACCACCACAACCAGCAGTTTTGTAAATTTGGCTGGATGATGATACAATAGTAGTGGTCTAAACTCACTAATTCGCTACCGGAAATTGCATTTACGGCATGCACTTTGCGAGAAATCTCCTTAACGGAGCCTTGCAACTCCTACATTTGGCCAGCCATCTGACTCAGAGGCTCACGGTCTGCTGAATCTGCCGTAGGATATGATTTTCCGACTCAGGGTCACATCAAAGTCAGGAGTATACCGTCTCCATCGACGTGCAGCCGAAGCGCATTCGCGTGCCACAGGGCTGCCCGCCTAGAAGCCGGACAACACTAGCCTGAGTGCGCACGAGCCGGAGCAAATGCGGACTACCTACTGGGAACTAGGCCCCGCGATTCCCCCTCCCGAGAGAGTGGGAGGCACAAGTAATTACTGCGCTGGAAGCGACCTGCCCGCGTGCTCCACGGCAGGGGAAATGTTCGCTCTCGCCCCGCCACGGCGCGCGCACCCACGGCGCGCGCGCGTGGCGGGCCGTGACGCGGGGTGAGAGGTGAGAGCCTCCGTTTAAACGCAGCTTAGCCTTTCCTTCTTTTCACGCCTTCGCCCCCCCCCCCCCC